TTGAAAATTTAAACAAACAGTTTACATGCTTCACTTTAGATGATCACATCCTTTATTGTGGAATGGTATTATTATTATCATTTATAGTTATAGATACAAATGATAATAGTTTCATTCTATTATTATTATTTTTTTATTTAAGTAAATAGTTAGTTAGTAAGTTAGTTAGTTTTGTTAGTTTAGTTACTTTAAGTCATTTACTGTCTATCCATCAAAATTTAGCTCTACCACTATTTCATTTAAAGGTCTGTCCCTTACTACCTAATTTTTATACAAACCTTAGGCATGAAAATATTTTCATTGTAAAATAAAAACAAATTATACATACTTTAGTCTTATATTCTGGTACTTTTGTATTCCACAGACATTGGCAATCCTCCATCAAACTAAGTATTAATGGAGTATGGTCATCTTTCCATTTAAAACCCATTGTATTTAATAAAAATTGCTTTACACGTGTTATTAAAACAATTTCAACGGTTACGACTAATAATAAATAATTATTTGTATTAAGTGTTGTGATAAGGTGATAACCATTTACTGCGATTCTCTTATCAGAGCAAGATATCAAAAATAAAAACATATATTTGAACATTCACTGATATTGAAGATGAAAGTACCTAGTGTTTACACAATTCACTTTTGATGATGATTCAACGTTGATGATTCACTCAAAGTGAAGGAATGTTAGACTTGACCGAACTTCGTTCTTCGTTCAACGATGATGATAAATTCTGATGATTTAATGTTTACATTGTTCATTATTTATTCGCTTTGGATGATTCATCCAAAATGATCACCAAAAGTGAACCATGTAAACGCGACTTAATATTCTTATTACAAAAAAAAAAAAAAATAAAACAATTACAAACAATAACAAATTTAATCTTATAAATTAATTTTCTAGGCATCTTCACTTATAAAAATGTCCAATACTTCATCTAATGTTGTCGCAAAGTATTCTTCAACATTTTCTAATGTTGTTATTTTTTTTAAGTACCTAATATTAAGTTTATTAAGTTTTAAAATCTATAGAAAAATGTATGTAGATTGAAGGTAGGTTTAAATTCTAACTTGCTTTCTGACTCTTTCACATATTTTCTAGAGTATTTTGTCGTATTTGAAAACTAGACACGTAATAGATGCATAAAGACGTAGATACGTATTAGACACATAAAGACGTTGCACCACTGAACTAAATTTAGGTTATTACGTTGCACATTGTATTATAAATATAAATTTAAATTTCAAGATTAATATAATATCATTATCACAGTCAAGCTGGTGTATTGATAGGTTGATAACTGATCTGTCGTATGATTGTAAAACATAACCAGCTATAAATATTTCAGTGATGTTAATCACATAATGTTATATATTGTAATCGATAAATAACCGTAGTAGTGGTTTTATATTTAAAATTTTATTTCAATATATTATTTTGTCTAAATGTAGAAAATAAAAAAAAATAATCGGCAAATAAATTTTTACACTAAACGCCAAAACACGCCAACTTTGAAATTGTTAAATCGCCCAATTGGCGGTAGCCCGTCAAACTATACATTTTGGCAATATTTGGTCATCAAATATAGCTCAATTGGCGATAAACCGCCCAATCTGGCAGCCCTGGATAGAAACCACGACAGAAGAGGAGCGTTTAAACACAGGAATGCACCTTACTCATTTTGCGCATGTGCGTAATTTATTCACCACTATCATAATGTTAGGCTGTTATCAATATATTATATCAAATCACTATAATACGATAATAATATGAGTTGAATCAAACTATTCAAAATTTGAACATACTACATAGTAGTGGTTGAAGCGAAGAAGGATACGGAAGGATGCTATCCTTCTATTTCTTTTGTTCGGTATTTTTCATCCCCCTACTTGTTTTGTTGAAAATTGTCCATCCCTCAAGGATTTTGAAAAATGAGTTGTTTGTATAATTTATAGCTATTACATTTAATATTGCTAATTATGTTTTCTATCAAGCTTTTATATCAATAATTATCATTTGTATAATCAAAACACGTAAAATGAAATCCAATTCATTATATTACGAACACTCGACATTTTTGAAAATCGAGTCTTGAGGAATCGTCCTCCCACTTATTTTGATCCGCTTCGACCACTGCCTATATGGATATTAAAAGTAAAATAAATTATATTAATTAAATTGTATTTCATTAAAATTAAATAATTTCCATGCTTTCTAATTAAGTACTAATAACTATATCATCGGGTGTCAATAACATAATTCAAGTGCCAATAACTGTATTTTTTGACATAATTTCATAAAATATATATTATTAAATAATATATAATAGATCATGTACAAAATAATTAAATAAATCTAAAGATAAGATAATATTAAATCAATTCATCACAAATTAATTATTGTATCATGATTATTTTATTTTCTATGAATTATTAAAAATTGGAAGTACACTAAAGTGCCAATAACTGTACAATGTACCCTACGTATTTTATATTTATTTTTTGTGCTTCGACTATTTGTTAGGAAAAAAAAAGAAAAACAAAAGGCGGCAATATAAAATAACAAAAAGAACAACTTTATTAAATAAAGAACACTTGTCGACGACCGCACGGAGCAAGAACCGAGAGCCCCGGTACTCCTACGGTCTCCGCGGAAACTAAAACTAATTAAATAAAATAAATGTAGTATGATCAACACTGCGCCCACCATACCCGGATCCCGGAACAGTGTTGCCATCGCTTACATTCGGTCGTCCTGCCGTAAGGGCCGCCCTTGGGCCTTTTATATAATAAAAAAAAGTAACTAAAATTAACGAACGTTATTAGTTAACAATTACGTACAAAAAAAAAAAAAAAAAAAAAAAAAAACAATAAAACTATCGCAAACAAAAAATATAAATACTCTTGACCATAAATCATCCTTTGGTTGCGGTGGGCAGGTAGCCACTCACTGGGTTAAAATGTCTCTTAGATATTCGGGAGCTTTCTTCATTCGTTTTCCTTTGACTGGCTCTGTCGTCGAGGCGTTTGATGTGGTTTCCCATAATTCTTCCGTCGTACCGTTGTCGTTGTCCCCCGATTCACCATCATTGGTCGTAGATTGGTGTCCCCGCGTCGTATCCTCATCGCTATCGGAGTCACTGCTCACGTCGGTCGGATCCTCATTGAGCACCTTCCACGACTTGAGTTGGGATATATGCGCTGTTTTGGCCTACGTTGACTGTCCCTCAGGCACGATTTCGGCTACTCGGTATATATCGTAGGGTAGCTTTTCTATTACTTGGAGGAGTTTTTCGCGATACTTGAACTGCAACTTCGAAGGTTGACCCTGAGTTGGGGCCTTCAGCATAACTACTACCTCTCCTGGATCGAGAGAATCACCTTGATAGTGTTTTCGATTGTAACAATCGGCCATACGGTGCTGTTCCGTAACGATATTCTTTCTGACTTTTCGCTGTACTCCCGCCGGGTCCTTCCACTCACTGGAATTCTGAGACAATGACCCCAAAACACCAGTGTGAAAACGTGGTTGATAATCATGCAAGGCCTCGTTCGGCGTTTTACTGGTGGTTTTATTCTCGGCGGAATTCAACTGTCGTTCGACTTCATTAAGTCCGAAGCTGCGTTCAGTTGATTTCAAAATTTATTCTTCGTCTTTGTATATGTCGAAAAGCTACAAACTATGTACCTCATATCGGGAAATGTGTCAATTCCAGTTCTATGTTGAGTTCTATGTTCAAATCATAGTCCAAATCAAAATATTGCTAATTAATTTATATTTTCTTAAATTTCTCACGGAACCCTTAAGTTCCGCGGAACACCAGTTGGGAAACACTGGTCTAGAGACAGCGCCTCTTATTTGCAATATTATTATCAGTATTACACTATCACTACAGTTGCCTTATTACATAATCGGTTGATTACATTTAAATATTATAGTTAAACAAACAGCCATAATATTATATTATTTAATAATTATATGAATTGTAATATATTAATTATTTAGTATTATTAATTTATATAGTACAAATTACAATTTCATCAAGTGAAGAATAAGAAATAATAAATTTAACATTTTGTTCTCTTTAAGGTAATGATTTAAAAAATTCATAATAATATGTAAAACCAGTCTTGTTTGTTAAGTATTTGTAAATTATTTAAATACATATTCTCTCATATACTCATTACCACCCAATCCAAAACTGACAAATATTAGCGAAGCAAAAAATATTATATTCTAATAATCTGATAGTATTTGAATACAAAATAAAAATATTTTTCATAAGACTACAAAACTAAACTGTGTAAGATATCTATATTTAATTAAAATTTACTGTAGAGTGAATCTTGTAAGTATTATATTCAATTACTTGAGAAACTAAAATACTAAATTATATTTTGAAATTATACTAATATTATATGTGCTTATAATTATAATTATAGGTAAAATTGAAAGTGGAATCCCGCCAAATATAATAATTGATCAGTTACGAAATGAAACTGATTATAATATTGAAAAAAAAATAAATATTACAACAAGGAAAGACATACATAACATTTCTAATTCTTCATTTGATGATATTGTAGTTTGTACTATATAAATTAATTATACTAAATAATTAATATATTACAATTAATATAATTATTAAATAATATAATACTATGGCTGTTTGTTTAAATATAATATTTAAACGTAATCAACCGATTATGTGATAAGGCAACTGTAGTGATAATGTAATACTGATAATAATAGTGCAGATAAGAGGCGCTGTCTCTCGACACTCGTCTATGTAACAGCCTAACATTATGATAGTGGTGAATAAATTACGCGCATGCGCAGAATGCTTAAGGTGCATTCCTGTGTTTAGACGCTCCTCGGCAGAAGTCCCGCGTTATATGTACAACGGTCGTTGACAGTTCTACCAACGTAATGTCTCTCGGTTAAGGCGTTTGACTTTATCGTGATTTCGCTTATCACTTAGGTCGGGCTATCTTCTGGGCTATCTATCAACTCAAAACATTTAGTATCGACTTTGTTTTTCAAATAATCTATTTTGCGTATCGTTTAATTGCAATTGAATATATACGTATGTCATAATAGTTTTTACTATTGCCGTTTGCTCACATCAAATAAACGTAAGTACGACGACGCAATTGTCTTCTTCTGAACGATATACGCTGTTGAAAACAATAATTCTTACGACTATTAGGAAAGAAGAAAAGAGATTGTAGCGTAGAAATCATATACTTTACGTAAGAATCTATTGTCTTTCTATGATTTTTTATTGGTTTAATAAGTCCCTTTCAATTGTTATTTAGTACACTTTTTATGTCTTGGAATAACCAGGTATGCATTTCGTGTCATTTAACATGCATGTGAGCAAGAGGTTAAAAAAGAACAAATGTTTTTTTTAATCTGTGCACGTAGGACGTTTGACTAACTTAAACTGCACATTATAATATTGTATGTACTTAACTTGCGTACATTTTATTTTAGTCTTATGATTTCTAATTATTGATTTTGTATTCTATATTATTTTCCAGACAGCATTTGAGCTTTGCATGTTATTACGTCATTTCTTATAGTTTGTCCATAAATGGCTGCTTACATAAATCGTACAATGGCACTGGGCGATTCAATGATTTCTCGCCGTAAACCAGCTCTAGATGAAAAATTGTCTTCTCCGTTACAGGTCTTTGGGCAAGCTAAAAAACAAATTAATGGTATATTTGTTAATATACAAGACTATGTAGCCAATGCATCTGAACGTATGACTGGTAATTATAATTATCTTTAAATTAATAATATGGATGGAATGATTATTCTGGTGTCTCTCCAGGTTTAAAATACATTATTCTTCAAATTGTAAATGCATATAATTTTATTTTTGTTTTACATAACATGGTGCAATTATTATTAATATTAACTAATTTGATTAAACATTTTATACAAATTTTAAAAACAGTTTTCATATAGTATTAAATTTATCTATTTATAATTTAATTAATATTTATTTTTAAATATTCATGATTTCAGAAGTGTATTGAATTATATTTAATAATGTATTAAAATATTTTTGAACCACTAATCATTTTACTAATACCTTCAGTTTTTTTCTAAAATTTTGAATTGGGTACTTAACTGTTGAAAATTTGAAGGAATGACAGGAATAATGTGAAACTAAGTGGTTTCACATTATTTTTTTTTAACATTTTATTAGTATAAATATGATATAATTTTGCTAAACCATTAAAAATAGGCATTACAAATATTTATAAGAAATTATAATAGGTATATTTTTTGTTTTATTTGTTACTGTAAATTTATAAAATGCTACATAGGATATTTGGCAATCATTAAATTAGTTAATCATTAAACAATGTATAAACAAAAAATTGCTATCCCAAACTGCAATTATTATAGTTCTGAATTATATTTATTAATAATGTTTATTTATGTAACTAAATTGTATTATAGATATGAACATTGAATGTCCTGATGTGATTAATGAAAAAGAATTGAAGTCTATACTAGATTATAGATCTAAAGTTAAAGGAATTTGTGAAGTATTGACCCGTGATCATATGAAAGTTGCATTCTTTGGAAGGTTTGTTGTTTTATTTCAATTCATGTTTAATAAAGAATTTAAAATTATAAATCTTATGGTTATTAATTTTAGTTCCCATAAATACATTGTTGATGTATATTACATGATTATTAATTTTTAGACAGTTCTTTTATAATAAGTAGAATGCGGATTTGTATGTGCTTAAAAGTATCGAAATATGCCATATAATATGCAATAAAAATTATGAAAATATGCAAAAATAGAAAGACAAAGAATTTTTTATCTATTAAAATTTATAATTCAACTTATAATAATTAATTACATTAATACTTAATAAAAAAAAATTTAGGGAATTTTCTGAACTTAATTTATTTTTAAAATTGTATTTATTATTAAAATGATTAATCATATGCATTTCAAGTTTATCTTCTGTGAAGCTGTGTCGTTTATCAGTTAACATATTTTTAAAGACTGAAAATGAACGTTCGACATCAACCGAAATTATTGGGGCATATTTGAAGCAAGTGGTATGTCGATAACCGACTGACACAGCAAGAGCGATTAAGTTTACGTTGTAATCGATTATTTATTTTATAACTAAATATATATATATAAATTATTATTTAGTAACTATTAAATTTAGTTTTAATTTTTCTACTTGACAAAATATTATTTTATACATTTTTTTTAAATTTTCACTTCAATATGCAATAAATTTTAAATTTTGCCAAAATATGCAAAAATATGCAATAACCTCTAAATATGCAGAAATATGCAAAAATTTCACCATTAGCTTCAAATTATGATGATTTGTGGAGATAACTGACAAAAATCCAAAAATATTGAAAGGAAAATAAATATGCAATTGCATAGAAATCTGCGCTCTAATAATAAGTTTCAAATATTTCATGTAAAATAAACCTTTTATAATATTTTATGATCAACTAAATGTTTTGGGGCGGATTGGCAATTATTTTTGGTCCAGAAAATATGAAACAAACCGGCCCATGAACTCCAAATTAAACTATTTTAGCCCTCCCCCCCCCAAAAAAAAAAAAAATGCTTTATTTTGCATCAATTTCAAAATTTGTTTAGTTTCACCCCTAAATTAGTAAAATCTACAATAACTTTACTATAATTATAGCTATTATAGTTTTGGGTAAGTTACATAATTAATCAGTTCCAACTTGAACTTGAAGTTTGGTCTTAATGCATCTTTAAATATATATTAATTTTTTTAATTATTTTTATTTATTTTATAAAATAAAATTTTTTTTTGGGAGTTACATAATAATATAGAGCGGTCCAAATAAGGACCTGCCAAGATTCTCGATTTCCCGTAGGGCAATCCGCACCTGTGAATGTTAAAGATTAATTTTTTTATACAGTCGAGTCACGATAACTCGGTCCTCGATAACTCGAAAAACTTGACAACTTGAATTGTGTTTTATTCCCCTAGAAAATTTTTCCCTTATAAATTAGTTAGATATCTCGAAATAATACATATCTTGAAGTGAATTTTTATCCTCTTTCAACTTCGAATTATCGCTACTCGATTGTATTTCATTTGAATCTCAACAAAAGGATTAAACTGCTTAATATTATATGTTCACTGTATAATAGTTTTTAATATGTATTAAATGCTATCTAATATATTCAAATGCATAAACATTTTTTTAACATTTAAATTTATCACCAGAATATTATTCTTTGATTAAATACAGGAGCACCATGGTAAATTAATAATGCTTTTCTTTACAAAGACCTCAACATCCCAAATGTTAAAAAAACTAGTTACTGCATACTACAAACAATTACTTATCAAACTTACTTTCACACTAACTCCCTTATAAAAAATATGTCCTCTTACACCTTATCAAAAAAACCTAGATTAATGCCTAAAGAGGAACTGGTCCCGTGATCTTTTATAAAAACTATTTTTCCTTACTCATTTATTAATCATTAATTTAATTAAATAATAAACTATGAGGGTGTTGTTAATGAGCCTCATCCTCCAATAATGTAACTAATGTAAATTATAATCATTTCTATTATATTTACTTATTGTTATGTGTTGTACAGATTTTAAATTTCTTATAAAAAAAAAAAAAAAATTATTAAGTTATGTTTTTTTTATAATTCTTATATTGTTACAATCTAAAAAATAGCTTTAAGCACCATGCAATTTTTATTTGATTGTTAATTAAATTTACTGTAGTAGTTTAAAATGATTTACTTATAATTATTTGAGGAATATTATTGCAGAACAAATTCATATTTCTAATTTGTTTTTATGAAGTATAATAAATTACTTTGTTTCTAATTATAAATGTAATCATAAAAAATAAACAGTCTATAATGCTGATGTTACAATATTTATGTTGATTATTAATTACTATTATTAAAAATACAATTTTTTTAAATATTATTCAGAACGAGCAATGGAAAAAGCACAGTTGTGAATGCTATGTTGGGAGATAAAGTTCTTCCCAGTGGCATTGGTCATACAACTAATTGTTTTTTACAAGTTGAAGGTTCTCAAACTGGCGAGGCATATTTAGTTACCGAAGGTAGTAAAGAAAAACAAAATGTAGAAGTAAGTTATAAAAATGTTCATAGTTGTATAAAGATGATATTGATTTCTATACTTTTATATAAATGTCATTATTTATTATGTTAATTTTAGTCTGTTAGTCATTTGGCACATGCATTGAATTATGAAAAACAATTGAATGAGAAAGAACTAGTACATGTATATTGGCCAAAAGATAAGTGTGGCTTATTAAGAGATGATGTGGCATTAGTTGATTCTCCAGGGGTAGATGTAACACCACATTTGGATGATTGGATTGATGCTCATTGTATTGATGCTGATGTTTTTGTTTTGGTTGCTAATGCTGAATCTACATTAATGATAACTGAAAGTAAAATATTTGAATACTCATACCCTTATTTCAAATATTATAGTGTATATTATTTATTTTTAAAATTAAATCAAATGCAACAATAAAATCTACACTGGGTTTGCATTTTTTTTAATTTTTATATTTATAGTACATTAGTAATGTACTTTAAATAGTTTTGGTATATTTTGTGAAGTATACAACACAGTTAATGCATATTATATGATATTTACTATACAAATCTCAAAATATATAAACGTCTGAACTTTGTCCATGAGTTAAACAAAATAGGAAATTTATTGTAAACTTCTTTTTTTATTTTTTTATTTTATAGCAAATATGATAATTTAATGATAATTGATTTCAATATTGATTTGATTGTGATAATTTAAATTTCACTCTTTTTATGTTTTCACTCATATAATTTTTATGCATTTAGTGCTTATAGTAACCGTGTTATTATACATAATATAATTTAGGTTTTGTTTATTTAATCAATCAGAATGGTTTGAAGAAACAAAATGGTATATTATCATTTTATAAACTAATTAAACTTTATATGTTATAATTTAGTATACACCATACACATTTAGTTTTTACTGACTATTACCAATTCTGAAAATGTATAAAAATTGTCTATTGTCTATGAAAGAGTTTTTATTAACATTTTAGTCAATATATGTTTAAAAATTTTAATTACTATTTATAATATGATATTTATAAGTCAATATTTAATTCCAAATTGAACTATAAATATTTAACCATAATTAATGAACTGAATTTTATTTGATTAAAATCAAGAAGTAGTAGTAAGTAATTATTTAACAAATGAAGATAAAAGAAGTGATTTAAAATAATTTTGATTTTATTTTAGTCTATATTTATAATTTACTAGCTGAATTATCAGGCTTCGCTCATGTCTAGTTTTTATTTTTTCTAAATTAAATTCTTAATTAATTGTTTTAATTTACTTAATTTGATCAAGTGCTAAATATTAGCAGTAGCTGAAATTATATAAATAATAATAGTAATAATAATATTTACAAATGATTTTAATGATTCTATAGTTATAATTAAAATATTTATAAATGATTCTATACTGAGTTACTCATTTCTAAAATTACTTAAGTCAAAATCACAAAAAAATAGAAATAAAAAAATCGAGTGATGTGGTGACACACTAAAAAAAATTGAAAATAAATTAAATAGTGTCGTCACAAAATGGAAACATAAAAAAGGCCTGTTATTTTATATAATATATAATATATTAGGATCTCAATGTCTAAGAACTAAAATGTATTTGATTTCAAAGCTTTTACTCACACTTTTCAATTTAATATTGTTAATTTCGACAGATTTCCTGAAGTTGTCTGAAATAATAACACATGGAATTTTCTTCTCCACTCTTTTTTTCCATTGTGTAGCGATATCATGTATATTATACTTATATTTAAAATATATGTAAACATTTAATATTTTGTCCATATTTAATAATAATTTATGTATATGAATACAAAAATAAATAACCGTAATATATGTCTAGAAATTTCGATAAGTTTTTTTTTAACTTTTCTTAAATTGCCATAATATAATAATAAAATTAAAATGTACAAAAAAAGAAAAAAGGTATTTATCAAATATATAATAATTAAATTATTTTTATTTAATTATATGTAATATAAAAAAATAATTAAGAAATTATGAATTGCATGAAAGTCGAAAAGTTATTATTTAAAATTTATTTATTATTCATTAAATATTTATTTTTTTTTTTTTAGTAAAAATATCGAAATATCGAATAGAATCAACAGTAACAAATAATAAGTGTATAATAAGTGTAAATAATATGTATAATATATATATATATATATAGAGTACATGTATATGAGAGTTACATAGTTATAAATGTGTTAATTATATCGTGTTTAAGTGACCCGATGATTGCCTTACTTTTGTACCAGGGTTCGATATGTATGCATGAATATTTTTATTTAATAACTTTTTGTTTTCTTTCTATTACTCGTTAATTGTACAATTCGCTTTCTGTCTTATAGAGTCCTGGTACTAAATTCGCGTATTATTCAAGAAGAAAACATGGAATTAATAAATTTAAATAAATATTATTAATTATAAACAATTATAAACATTAAATATAAACAATCATACATAAAATATACATATTATAATATACATATATTATATACATAAAAATATTCAATATATTTAATCTTTATAAAAAATTATTTCTTATCTTTGTATGTAAAGTATATATAGTATATATAGCTTAGGTGGAAATATTATTATTATTTTTCTATTTATTTGATTTACATCAAAGGTTAGTTTGTAAGGTTGATTTAAGACTGCTTTAACTCAGCTATAAGATTAGCTTAAATCTGTAGCTGGTAGTTTTAGCTACAGATTTAATACTATTGTATATTTTTATACATTTTTATATTATTTTTAAAAGAATAAGCATTTTTTTTATTTGATGTCATGATCATTAATTTTCTTTATGGGCTAAAATATTATTTAATGTGCATATTTATAATAAAACTTTATTATTAGGAATTAAATAAAAACCTTATAAATTACTCATAAATTGAATATTCTTAAATTAAAAATATAATAAATAACATGTAGATTTTGTGATAGATCATTATTGTAAAGGAAAAAATGTATATGTAGTTTTGTAAAATATAATTACAAGAAATGTATACTGATGTATCCAAAAGCAACAAAGGAGTTGAAATATCCATAAAAAAGAGAATGTACAAACATTGTTTAAATTACCATCAACATGTTCTATAAATACAGCTGAAGAAATTGCTTTACTACTGACCATAAAGTATATAAACAAAAATGAAGATCAAAAATATATCATGTTAAGTGATTTGTTAAGCTCCTCATTAGTATACAAAATAAATTTAATACGAGAGATATAGCAATACAAATTTAAAATAGATTAGAATAAGCTAAATAAAAAAAAAACTAATAACATAATTTTAAAGTGGACGTCTGTAAAAATAGGAATAATTGGTAACGAAATAACGTATAAATAAACCAAATTAGTAATCCGCTTACCAGATTCATAATTCATCAACATTTCTACATACACAGATGTAAAAAAATAGATGAAAAAAAACACTACCTTGCTTTGGCAAAATAAATGGGACATCCAAATAAACAAATTAAACCAAATGAAGTAATCAGTAAAAAGATGGAAATGAAACCCAAATATTAATACAACAAACAAAAAAAAAAAAAATTATAAATCGGACCAAAATTTGTTTCACAAGACTTACTTATGGTTGTTATATGGTAAAAGTTGACCAACCAATACACCAATCATGTGGAACCATGCTCAAAATTAAGTCCATCTACAAGTAATGCAGAAAGTATGAAATATAAAGAGAGGAACTCAATACAAGCCTTATTGAACAAGTATAGGCCCAAATCCAGACAAAGAAAGTAACAGAATTTTTCAAATTAATCAAAATGCTAAACTTAATATATCTATTAATTGTATTGTACACAACTAACTAAATAGTTAATTTAAACTGTATTGTTTTATTTTTATTTTTTTTAAATGTAATTCTAATGAACAATTAATTAAAGTAGAAATGACTAAAATTGCAAGACCATTAAAAAAATAAAAAACACAATTAATTAACTTATGCTCAAGTTCAATTTAATTTGTTTTTGATACGCTTCAAATTATTATTTTTACTGGCTTAAATACTTTAATTTTGTAAAGTATAAATTAAGAAATTAAATTTTAAGTTATAATCATTCTGTGTTAAACTTTTTAAACTTTCCCATTTGTTTCTCATTGTTTTGTTGGTAATTTGAGTAAAATTTTTATTGTGTTCTATTTTTTTATAGTTTAAAACTTGAAGTTTTTAATTTAAGATGTTGAATATTGTTATAATTAAATCTAAATAATTTATGATTGTGATTTCTACATTTTTAAACTTTATTTATTTAAAAATGAATCTTCCCCTATTGCATTTTGAATTATAAATTATAATAAAATACTTTACTTTTATGTTTCCATTATATATCGTAAATTAATATCTGCAATTAGATATTGGAATAGTAATAATATTATTTTGTTTAATCTTTTTAATCTTATGTTCTATTATTTTTATTATTAGATTCTGAGTAAAAAAGTTTTAATAGTTTTATACATAGTTTTTCTTTCTTGTTGGAAATAATAATAATCTTGATGAGGAGCAGATTTACTGGGTATTTAGGACATTACAAATTATTCCTTATATGTCTGTACTAATAACAGAAAATATATTTAGTTTGGAAAAATATGCAATTATGGAAAATATAATATTCAATTAAATTTATCTTAATTTGTTTTAGGAAAAAAATTTCTTTCATAAAGTTTCTTCGAAATTGTCAAAACCAAATATATTTATACTAAATAATCGCTGGGATGCATCTGCTAATGAACCAGAATTTTTAGACCAGGTAATTTATTCAGTTTATTTAATTTATTTCTATATTATAATTAAACTACCTATCCTTTTTTGTTACCATCTTTTCGTTCAGTTTAATAGCCAAGAACAGGTAAGAAAAAAAATCTTGTTTTTATTAAATCGTAACTAGTAGATTATTAAAAATAAAAATTGCTTTCATACACACAAACACATTGATATTTTTTTTATATGTATTTTAAACATATTTATAAATATTTATATTAAATAATTATGCTTGTTCCAATTATTCTAAATTAATTTACACTAGTGTATGACTTTACATTTCTCTTTTAGGTGCGCAAACAACATATGGAACGTGCAACAGATTTCCTTGTAAAAGAATTGAAAGTTTGTACAGCTGAAGAAGCAGCATCACGAGTATTTTTTATTTCTGCTAAAGAAGTCTTACAAGCTCGTGTTCAAGAGCGAAAAGGATTAGCTCCAAATAGTGGAGCACTAGCTGAAGGATTTATTACGAGATACAAGGAATTTGAAGAATTTGAACATAAATTTGAGGAATGTATCTCAAAATCTGCGATCAAGACTAAATTTTTAAATCATTCACAGCAAGGAAAGCATTTAATCGAGTGAGATACTTATTTCTTTTTAAAATATTTTTTTATTTGAAACCATAAAAGTAGATATATTTAATTATAATTGATGCTTTATGCAGAAGAATGTTTAAAATAATCTGTTGTTTATATCTGTGTATATGTTTAAAAACTATATGATTTTTTTTTAGTGAAATATGTAAAATTATGGAAACCATTTTCAAAAGAAGCCTAGAGCAAACTAAGATAAAAGGGGCTCAGAAAAAAGAATATCAAGAAAAGTTGAATTTTACTAATCAGCAACTTGAAAATTTAACGAATATGTTAAAAATAAAAATTAGGAATGTGACTGATGATGTGGAGGACAAAGTGTGTTTACCAATTAATATTTAAATAACTATTAGTTATTAAGTAACCATTTTCATTAAGATTTTTTATTTTATTTTAGGTATCTAAAGCATTGAATGATGAGATTCGCCGGCTATATGTTTTAGTTGATGAGTTTAATGCATCATTTAATTCAGATCCATTTGTTTTGAACGTTTACAAAAAAGAACTTAATAGCTATGTTGAAACAGGTCTTGGTAGCAACTTGAGAGCTAGACTTTCTACTGATTTTGCTATGACTATGGAACAAAGTCAAAAAGAAATGGTCGCTAAGATGTCATCACTTTTGCCAGAAAACAAAAGAAACATTAGTTTATCAAATTCGAAATGTAAACCATTTGAAATTTTGTACCGTTTACATTGTGACAACCTATGTTCAGATTTTCACGAAGATCTCGAGTTCAAGTTTTCTTGGGGCTTAAGTAAAATATATAGGCGTGTGACTTCTTTGAAAATATGGTCACAAACACAATCAAGAATTTCTTATGTAAATGTAATGTCTATTTATTAAAACTTTGTTTTCATTAAAATATAATTTGTTCTAGTATCCGTCTCAGAATCAATCAACTAGTGCTGAAGGATCGTTTAATAATAATCAATCAATAGTTGAACAGAATTTACCTTTCATGAGTCGTTTTCTAGGTGGAAGTGAAGTTACTATGATTGGAGGACTCTGTGCAGCTGGATTTGTATGTATTGTGATGTGCATTATAAGATTTTTAATTTATAATAACATGGAATCCTTTTATTATCTGTTTATTAGACTTTTAAAGTAGTCGGATGGCGTTTACTTGGATTATCTATTGGTGTTTATGGTTGTCTTTTTCTATATGAGCGATTATCATGGACAACAAAAGCAAAAGAACGAGAATTTAAAAGGCAGTATGTTGAGTATGTTACTAGTAAACTACGGATGATTGTTGATATTACGTCAGCAAATTGTAGTCATCAAGTAGAGCAAGAACTTACTACTACTTGTTCACAATTATGCCAGTTAGTTGATGAGTCATCAGATAATCTCAGTGATCAATTGAAAAATTTGGACCATGAACTTAAAATATTAGCCAAATCAACAGAAGTATCTAAGAATTTGAAAAATAAAGCTGATTTGTTGAAAGTAGATTTAAAGCAATTTGACAATACTTTCCTATGTCAAAACTAGTCAAAATATACTAATTATCTGTTGAGTATTTCTAAATATATTTTTTTTTTTTTTAGTATAGATGTAAAATGTTTTATCTTTTCTTACTTCATTGAAATAATATTTGATAATTTTAATAATTGACCTTTTTAATTGTTCTAGTTAAAGTTTTTTGTTTATTATAATGGATCGATAACAAATTAAATTTATGTAAGAACTATAATTGAATGATGCAGTAATTGTCAAAAATAATGGTTGTTTTGTTTGAAATATTAAAATAAAGAATTAGATAAACTATTGAACAGTCTATAATCAGTGTTGAATTTCTAAACTTTTAAGTTATAATTGACAAAAATAATTCATTCATAACATATTTGTATTACCTGTAATGTTTACCATAAAATATTTTATTAATATATTATTTAGATAAATTAAAATTAATGTTATTAATTTAATTAAAATTAATTTTAATGATTATAATTATAATTATATAAATTATAATGATTTTAATTAAAATTAAAATTATTATATAAATTTAGATTTTGAAGTTAAATTAAATTATACTTTTTTATAAGTGTTAAGAAAATCATTGAAAATTTGCGTACCATTTTGAAAATACCTAATGATCACCTGATTTACTAAATTTCAGAATAGTTGTTTTGCTATGTACATTTTTGGATAGAAAATAAAGTTTGAAATTTAATCTAATTAGGTATTCAAACGTTATTTCATACTTTTAATTATTTTCTTAAGATGTATTATTGTATTGAACGGTAATCTTTTTGATAAGTACTAAATGAATTAGGTCTTATTAATATTTAATACTTTTATAATTGTTACTGAATATCATCTTGAAATTATCATTAAACAATTTTTAATTCATTTCAGTTTTATTTATAATTTTTGTGTGTATATGTATAAGCTATTTAATTTTATCTCGGTAATAGAATCTTACTCAAATATGTCCATATAAATATGTGTGATAATTTTTTGTGAAAATAGAAAGCGCTCAACTGGAATTTTTAGCCCAGCCTCCACATATTTATTTGAATATACAGGTAGGATGCATTGTGTGATTCCTTAAATAATTTTGCTTTTTTGGGGTGTTAATTCGAGTTTTGATAGACACGATATGATAGACATCAGATTTGAGATTAAGTTCCCTCCATCCTGTTAGGTACTGTCAGGTTCCTCCCTCTGCCAGAGTCTGGTGACGTAATACTTGAACGCTCCACATGCTATACACCGTGCTATAAAGAATACTTTTAAAAAATATTTGAGTGAATATTCAAATATATTTTTTTTCAGGTACTAAAGATACTACTCGAATACTTTTACTGTATAGTATTTCAAACACTTCTCAAATACTTTAAGAAAGTAAAGAAAAAACCTTCAACTTTAGGTACATATTTATTTATAAAGTCGGGTAGTCCAGTCCAGTGTAATACTAAACGTATTATATGGTACTGTCTGGGCTAATACAGAGTGAACCTTACGGACCGTTCCATAAAAGATCCAAAATGTTTTAAGATCGGACCGATAGTTCGGTATAGGGTCTACTTTATTAAATGTTATTTAATTCTGGTCCGGTCTGGTCTAAAAATAATATGTAGCCATCGGTTTGGTCCAATTTTGATCTTTGATTAACGTGTAAGTGTGGTCCAATCCGACTTTGGTCTCCTGGTAAAATTTGTAGTCCGGTCTGGTCCTTAAAATAATGGACTGTGCATTCATATTATTAAATTAAAACTTACAGTTATTTCCATTTGATTAAATTCGGCTAAATTATTAATCTGACTAAATTATGTCAAGCAGAACCGGCTACAAGTAGTCATTTTTTTTTTGCTTTCTCGTAGACGAGAAGCGCCGCTTTTTTTTTTATTTTTTTTGGTCCATTTCCAAGATGGTTTTTTTAGTTTTAAAAAAAAGGTTCGCACACGAAACGAAATTCGAATATGCACGTTACAAGTCACAACAGTTGAGAGACGAAATCGCATAAATTCGCACACATGAATTGATTCTACAACACATCGTTGACGAGCGCATGGAGGCTTGGAGCCAATAGATTCACGATAGGTAGTTGATCTATGGAGGCACCGACTAGTGTAGTATACTTCACCAATACGCTTAAATCAACTCCACGCGCCGTACACATTTGATAAAAAAGTTGATAAACCAAAAATTCAACAAAAAAAAAACTTAAAAAAAATATATAGATAATATTATATGAATATGAAAAAATAATACATAAGTTTATTATAACAGCACTTTGGAGTATTAATATCGGGCCAATAGTCAACAATTTTAAGTTAGAGGTGCCGTTGTATACACAGTCCCACCCAGGGAAGTATTTAAATTTACTTCTAGGGGAGGGGCGACTCAAATGTTTTCTTTAATTATTGTTTTTTTTGTTTTTGAGTTATTTTAGAAGCGTATACCAGTAAAATAACATTTTACATTAGGTATATGCCGAAAATCGAAAATCTGTTGATGTGAATACGCCGTATATCCGCGTACCCGCGTACACCCCTGCCTTTAACAATATTTTATTTTTGTAATTCTCATAACTCATAACTTATAAATAAAGCAATAATATTTGTTGTATAACAACAATAAAATGTGCATACCACGTAAAATATGTATTTATTATCAATTTAAGAAAAAATAACTTGTGTATGGTGTAACTAATATTTTATCGGAGTTCACCGAAATTATTTTTGACGGGTATGCCATATGGGTTTCGCGGCGACAATATCCGATGTATTTTCAAAAAGCATATTTATAAATTATAATTGGTAATGCATATTTATATATTATTAGTTGACAAATGTATTGTTGTTTTAAACATCCTTTTTATATATATTTTATTTAGATTACCTAGTAATTTAAGTCAATTTTACAAAAATAACTAAGTTCCAAATCTTTTTTACTAATAGTTATAAATATTTTTACATGGCAATTTCTTTTATGTTTTAATCGTTAATCTTTTTCTGTTATGTTATTCGATATTAATTTTAATGGTTTTTCGTTTCTGTTTCGTTATCTGTTATCGATTTCAATCGCTTTTTCAATAATTTAACGTTATACATATACGAGTAAGTTATAACGGTATAAAAACGTTTTGGTTCCCTGGTATGAACACTAAGTATCTTTATAAAATAATCCACATTAAAAAAAATTTGAAATGTTTATCTCACATATGATCGATTCCTTAAATATGGATGCGGGGGGGAGGGTGATCGCCCCGAACTCCCCATAAAATATGCCTTTGGCCCACCCCAAATGACGTCTCTGCACTAGATACGGCCAATACAGAAGTACAGAGTATTCAATAAAACTATTATTCAATTATTATTGTAGTTGCCAATAGAGGCATACCCAAGAGGGAGATTTCGGGTCCGGACCACCTTCTTCCCCCAATATAATTTCAACGTTAACATTTTTAACGTGATTCAAATTAAACCTAAAAATAAAATAGTATTAATATTATAAACGTATTTTGAAATCTAAAACAAAAATTATTAATAACAGCTATCATAGTTGTAATCAATAATGAGAAACGATAAAATGACCAATGGAGCTATACCCACATAACTTGTCAGTTGTTAAATGTCAATTGATGTTTATGGGATTTTGTGACCCGTGTTTTTCATATTTTTTTGGAGATTTTTAATTTTATTATGAATTCGAAAAACTTTGGCATTTTGCAAAAGTTTTGTATTTTTTTGCATTTTTTGACAAAATTAACCTTGAATGCATTTCCAGGGCATTTTTTGACAATTTTAGTGAGTTTTCTTAGTTTTTAGTGCATTTTTAACTATTTGTTCATAAAAATGAATGAAAATTACGAAAAAAGGATATTATTCAACTAACGAAAATCATTTTTGTTTCAAAATATAAGAAAGCATATCATTGTACAATGTAATAGCAATTTTGTTCAGGTTAGTAATAATGACTAGCAAAAATATTTTAAAGTATGATTTAGAATGAATGAAAGAAAACAGAATTATAACAGAACTAAACTAGTAACAATGTATAATACAAAAAAAAAAAAATACACAACGTGGTATGATTTTAAATTTTTTTCTAATTTTCAAGCTATAATAAATATAATTTAAATGCATTTTTGAAGTGCATTTTTTGAGATATTTTAGGGCATTAAAATCCTAGCTTTAGTTATAACATTATTTATTTTATATTTTATAGTATTCTGCTGGTTATAAATTAAAATATGATCATAAGTAAAATAAGTATGCCCATAAGTAAAACTTTAAAAAGAAGCTAATTTTGTTTTTCAAATTATGAGCTATATATTCTAAAAGAGGTAACACTTATTTAATTTTATGTTAATATTATTTTTCTAGAGAAGGGAGGGAAGCAAGTGCACAATATTACCTTACCCATGTGATCACCCTTTACTAAGATTATATTTAGAGAACAAATTAAGTAAAACTGTTAGACCCTCTCCCTTAAATAATTTCTAGTTACGCCACTGGTTGGCAATAATATTTTTTCAATCAAATATTTTGAATAAAAATAAAATATTCGAAAAAAAAGTAGGTATTCAATATAAATAAGTATTTAATAGAAACAATAGTATTTAAAATACCGTAAAGTATTTGAATACTTTTACTCAAATACTTTACAGCGCTGTACATGCGCGATCGGTGTAAGACAGTACATAGGTAAGTGTAGTCGACGGTTATGAAACGGACAAAACGAACGTTGATTGTAGAAGACATCTCGGAACGTTACCGGCGCAACGCTCCACCCGATGTTCCGGTCCGGTACGTAATTCCAAGGGGGGACAACTGCTCCCCCCTCCCCCAATGATCGACATCATTCGTGTGCTTATAATCTTGAAGAAAATCGATCCCCCCACAAGAAATGCGTTAATTTTGATGTCTGTCCACTCTAACGGCGTAGTACCGCATGTCGCGTACCAAATTGAAAACGTACGACGCGGAAGTCCTCTGGAATTAATGACACACTGTGGCGCGCGGGCGGGGGTGACGGGGACAGAGGAACATGGGCGCAACTAGAACCAAAATATTGGTGGTGCTGAAATTGCTGAAAATTAAATTAAATGGTATTTAACTGTAATCACTATAGATTATTTCGATCTGAAAAAAGAAACAGTGGTGCTACATTTGAACTCAGGGGTGCTAAAAAGCCTATTGCGTCCCCCTTAGTTGCGCCGATGCGGTGGACCGTTCTCATGGTGCACCTTGGCCGACGGAACCGATCCGATTTTCATAGTCGGCGCGCGCAAGTAGGGCTGTCCCAAGTTTTTTCGGGGTCAGGAGCAAATT